CCTTCCCCCCCCCGCCCCCCCCCCCCCGCCGCCGTGATTTCCCGTGGCGTGTGTCGTCCCTACCGTCCCTTTCTTTCGCTCCGAAGCCTGCAGCTGAGCGAAGAACGAGTTCTTGCCTGCCGCGGGTGCCTCCACCGCTGTCTTGTCAGGGCTAGCCGGCGGGGTCGGCGCGTCTTCGTCCACACACGCCTCCTTATCGTCCGCCCCGCCGCCTCCGTTCACGGCCAACGGTCCCTCCGTGCTTGGTTTTGTTGCGCTGGCGGCGGCGGGGCTGCCCGGCGGGGTCGGCGCGTCCTCGTCCACGATCGCTGGTGGAGGTGCCGTTCCTATTTGCGAGCGAGCTTTTGCGGGCGTCGGCCCTTCAGCAGCGGCGGCGTCTGCGGTCGCTGCATCTCTGGCTACTCCGGTGCTTTCTTCACCCCCCTGATCGCTGCTGCTGCTGCTGTCGTAGCCCCCGCCCCTCTGCTTCTTGTCCCCCTTCTTGCGGTGCTTGTCACTCCTGCTGCTGCTCTTTCTCTTGGCTTTTTTCTTCTCTCTTTTCCTCGCCTTCTTCTCGTCCTTCCTCTGCTTCTTGCGCCGCCGCGCGGGGTCTTTGTCGCCACCGTCGCCCTCACCCTCGCTGTTACTGCTGCTGTACCTTTTTCTACTGACACCACCATCATCGGCAGCGGAGCGTCGAGGCGATTGAGATCGAGACCTGAAAGTCGAGATCACAAGAAGAGTCAACGAAAGAGCCCATCAGATTCCCGCTTGGGGTTGCGGCCATGTTGTCGGCATCACCTGGTGAAACCATGCGACGAGCTAACATTGGAGGCTGCAACATGCGATTTGGCGTACCGTATACGACACAAGATAACACACCCCCTGGACCGATTTTCAAAGCTCGATTACTCCACGACGTGGATTACGCCAAGACGTGGAGTAATCTCCACGACGAGGAGGATGAATAAACGAAACGATACGTTTTCGGAGAGCTCTCAACCAGACAGCTTCAACGCCGACGTTTTCGGCGCTGCGGCTCTTTCCGCTGTTGATAAAAATCGAGATTTGACAATCAGTCCAGGTGGTGTGTTATCTTGTGTCGTACACGGTACTCGAACAGGCGTCGATGCTGGTGACCGTTCGCTACCTTCGCTACCGGCGAACAGATGCGGATAATGCAACAAACCAGACGGGCTGCGAACGCGTGAGCTGGGCGAGTACAATACATGCATCGTACCGCAGCCGCGTGCTTTCGCCCGATCGAGAGAAGAGGGCGTGGTGGAGCGGGAGCATATGCATACCTGGGCCGTTTGCGCTGGTGCTGCTGCTGTCCCCCTCGGTCACTGGAGCGAGGAGGGCTAGGCGTGTCATGCCTGCCGCCTCTTCTCTGGGAGAGAGGGCTCGGAGTATCGTGCCTTCTTCTTCTGCCGGTCATGGAGGAAGCCGCTGGTTCTCCTCCACGCGTTACCCCGGTGTCGATGCTCTGCAGCACTCGACGTGGGTCCAGTGGGCGCGGCGGCGCGAGCCTGTATCTACTGAACACCTACATATGATACATACGCCAAGGTGGTGTGAAAGATGGGTGGGGCATGGGTCGGTGTGGATCAACAGGAGGGGCATGTACTGAACAACACACACGAGAAAATTGGTGAAGAGCCACCTGTAGTTGGCAGTGCGCGCTTTCTCTACCCTGCGACGCTGCTGTAGACGAGCTGTGCGGGGACGAAGAAGCCCATGATGCTGGGTTTTCAAACAGTGCAACATGGTTGTCTCACCTGTTGTGTCCTGACTGTGCTCCTATCAGCTAAGTATGAGCGTGAACGCTGAAGGACCAAAGGGTGTCTTCTTTCCCCCCAACGAGAGGGGGCTAGGGTTCAAAGGGCGCCAGCACTGATTGCTGTACACTGACGCTCAGTGCTGTCCGCGATCTGATCTGGCAAATGTCGTTGGCAGGGTGTTCCATCAAGCGACAGTCGTGCTTGCCCAAAACGGGGACAACGAGCACGACAAAAACAGCAAAAATTGCGCCGCATCTTGCCCCCCCGTTGCTGACTTGCTCATTGTGCCCTTCCGTTCGTCGATTGCAGTTGCAGCCCGTCGCGTGCCAAGGCAGCCACCATGCCTTCCCGTTCGTTTTCGCCCCCCGAGCGGACGGCTGCCCGGGCGATGCGAACTCGAAACTTCGAGGGCATCCTGCATGGTGAGATGTAGAGAGACACACGAGACAGACCGAGGCCTGAATTTTGGAACATAAAAGCCAGCAACATTCAGGACACATTTGAGTGTAAATACATACAGCAGTACAGCCGCCTTCTCAATGGGCAGCAAGCGGCACACCCGCAGCCAGCACGACACGGCATGTCGGGGGTTTATAGGAAAGAGCTCGATCTTGAGCGAAGTGCGTGTGTTTTCCAGAGAGAGACTTGTTGCCCTGCAGCAGCAATGGTGGCGACTTCTTGCAACGTGCGGAAGAGACAACTGCTGCCCGCAACGAAGCAGCGTGTGCTGCACCTCTTGCTGTTGCCTCCCCCCCACCCCCGGGCGCACAACTTTACCGGCGCGCTTTGATGCAGCCGCTGTAGATACCGTGTCTAGTGCATCGACGACGACTGCTCTGCTCTGAAGAGCATGGTGATCCTCCCTGCCTTTTCTTTGCGGAGAAACCAGAGCGCGCATTAACCTCACCAAGGGGAATTGGTTCGTCCCGAGTACACCAAGAACGAAGGGACGTTTGGTCCAGCAGAGTTTTGGTAGCGCTGTGGCGTGGATCCCCCTCCCCTAGAGCTGACCTCACACCAATCGTTGGTGTCAGGGGTTAGGGTAAAAACGGCACGCAAATAAGTGTTGAAAGTAGTACTGTTGTAGAAATCAACCATGCTTTTTTTTTACGCCACATGTGGGAAACACCAAAATCTCTTCCGCCGTCGTGCAAGTTCGTTTCATGATTGTTGGGTGGGTCGATCGATAGCTGTGTTTCGCCTGACACGTCTCGTCGACGATTGCAGGGATTATTTGGTCATATGCATATCACAAGTACAACGTGTGTCTGCGCCGTAGCTTGAGCCGTGCATGCCCCGCCGTGCGCAGAAAAAATAGTTATGCCCAGCATGCGATGTTGTGGTCCTGGAGCTGAGGTTGAAACCGGTTTTTCGGCACAAAGACGGCAAATCTGTTCGGTATATAGTTGAAGCACGCATAGACTAAAAGACTCTGGGCGGCAGCGCACTTTTTCCACGAATGGGCGGAGGTGCCATATGCGACATTGCAAAACGCTATGGATTCATTGCTAATCTATCTTAGAATCTTTTTCTTAGACAGGGATGATTCGTTGGGGTCTAACTAGGAAAAATAAAAAAGTTTCCCAGCAGCAGTGCCTTCTTTTTATTTTGTCGGCGCCATTTACGCTGGACGTGGGCCCTTACACCTGTTCTCGGTACAAGTGCCAATAGACCACAGAGGTGGGCAGCAGCACCTCATGTTGCGACGAAGATGGACAGCGGTAGACACGCAAGAATCCTTGCCCTTTTGGTGCGCTGTCTTTCATGGTGACGTTGGAACATGGTGCGCCGTACGTGAGGGTTGATTGAAACAGCAGCGATGCCAACATCGACGAAAACGCCGTCGACATGGTACACGCATGTAGCGACGGTTCCCCTACCGATATAGCTACAGCAGAGCGGTTTCCTCTCGCCACGACCCACCCATCGGCAATACCTTACAAAACTATCGGCTGTACCCCCCCCCTCCCCCCCCCGGTGGTTGCCATCGGGGTTGGGTTTTCGTCGCTTGGCCACGACTTTGTAAAACAAGCCCCCCCCTCGGTGTTTGCCATCGGGATTTAACGACGTTGTAAAAGAAGCCAGTTCACTTCGTGAACTCGGCAACCAGGTTACCGTTTTTTTTACCTCTGTTTTTTTTTTGGCGGTAACCATGATGGTGGTCGAGTAGATCATGTTGTGCGGGGTGGAGAACCCTCGCTCCGCGCAAGGGGGATGATCGCACCACGTTGTGTTGAAATGGTCAAGCATCCTCGAGGCAGCTACACAGTGCTTATAACTGTTTCTGGAAGTGAAAGCACCAGAAAATAAATCAAGTCATACGCAGCTGTCATCCGTGCGCAAGGAAGTAAGCACAGGATACCGAACACCCTTAGCAGGATGCAGGGCACCCTTCATGCAACTCGCCGAATACCTCACGGCGTTTCGCGCTTGGTGATGTGAGAGCCTGGTCCGGTGAGAACCTGGCGTGCTCCGTCCCGGCTTTGTTGGGATGCGAGGTCAATGGTCTAACGACTACGGCATGCACGACTATGAGTACACCCCCCCCCCTCCTCTGGTTTGCTGGCGAACAGACCAGAACCGGTTCTCGTACTTCCTGGATTACTTGAGCGTGCATGCCCAGGCGCACAAGCTGCTGTTCTGGTTCGAGATTGAGCAGTTCAAGCTTCTTGCGGGAGACGACCGGGTAAGAACATGGGCGGATTCCTTTCGGCAGGCTAAGGGCAGGACTTGGTATGGAAGTAGGGGGGGGGGGGGGGGGGGGAACCCGGGGGTTAAAGGGGGGGTTTTTTGCGGGGAAAA